GTGGAGCAGACGAACAGGAGATTGGTTCGGTTGGTTTCCGGTCACATTGACGAACGGCGGTGGCAGACGGTGGTCCGGGCGGGAGTACGACAGAGACGCACCCGCACACCTTCTCTCTCTGTCTCTCTCTCTTTCTCTCTCTCACTCTCTGTCTCCCCCCCCCCTCTCTCTCCCAGCAGCCCTAGCGGTGCCTGTGTTTGCCTGGGCGCGCAGCAACCTCGCACGGTCTGCGCACAAACTGCTGCAAAGCCACCACGAGGAGCCGCTGGACCGTAGCATAACCGTGTCACTTACTCACTGGCGGTTGGTTCAAATGCTAAAGTAGGTGCCTTTTAAGTTTGAAAATATTCCACGCGTGGCTTTATCGTAATTTGAATGGGCTGACAACCTCAAAAATAAAGTAGGTGGCGCCCTCCGCCCCCTTAAAATAATTTCCTCTGTAGGATGTGGCCGGCGCCATGTCGACACGGTGACGGTATGCAGGTAGCCGTGACGCAGCCCGCCGGGCACGCTCCAGAGCCGCTCCCACTCCCGCGCCGCCACCCCACCGGCAGCTGCCGCCGCCACGCCGCGCCAAGCGCACCTGGGCAAGGCGGCTCCCCGTCGTGATGTCGCTGAGGACCGCCCCCCAGCAATTTACACCGCTCCGGCGGGTTAAGCCTCGGTCAGCGCCAAGCTTCTTCTTTAAATACCCTGCGCGCTTCTTTTGTCGTATTATTATTTCTACCACTCGGCCCGGCCCTTTCAAGGATAGCAGTTTTTGAAACGCGCGCCCCTTTTGACGACACCTCGCTGCCTCGTGACGACTGTCGCCGTGGTCGTGTCGGCCCAGTCGCGCGGGATGCGGGGCCGGGCTGCCGAGGACCTCGAGTAGCACGAAGTAGCGAGAAATGGCAAGGTCAAATTTGGTATTGACACTTTATGTTATTGCTAAATGTCAGTCTCCCGGGAGACGGCCGTCAAGGTGAAACGTCACACCATAAAGTGAATTTCTCGGCATCCACATACAAATGAGACCCGAAGCTGGCAACAGCTTTAAAAATGCGTGTACAGCCAATTTTAAGATTTCTAAAAAAAAACAAAAACAAAACAGAATTCTAGGTTTTATAGAACTTTCTGAAATTTCACGAGATTCTGGAGGGTGTGAAATGATCGGTTAACACGTTCACGTTGAGTCGAGGGTGATTTCGGGGATTTGAGGGATTTTACACACATTGATGTGCTTATACTTGTCGAGTTGAACACACTAATGTGCAGTGCATCCCCGACCAACGCGCGGGAGGTAAATTATGGGGACCCTAACGCACGGGTGAGCCGAGGAGGAGGCGCCCGCGGTCGGGCCGCCCAGAAGTGGGGTCATCCGCGGCCTACTTTGCGCAAAGTGCGCCCGGGCCAGCCTCCTCACCTTGGGCTGCTGCACCCCAGCCCGGCTGCACGGACACCCACCCGACCACCGCGACGACTCCTTCCGGTCTGGTGCCCCCACCGTTACCCGCGCAGGAGCTGCTCGCCGCACACGCGCGCTGTGTGCGCGAGTCTTTTCTGCTCTTACTCTAACTTTGCAATAACATTCGCTCGTGCCGCCGGCCGTCCAGCCCGTCTTCGGTTATTGGCAGTAAGAGTGTTGGCCGCGCCGCTCGCTGCTTATTGGCAGTCATCAGGGGTCCTCCCTGCACTTGCACGCGACCTCCCCGGCGTTGCTTAATCGCAGTCGGTGCGTGAGTGGAGCCCGTCACGCGCGTGCGGACCTCTAAGTACGCACGTACGGACCGACGTTATTGGCAGTCGAGCGACGTGCGCTTACATTATTGATCGGAGAAAGCAACGGCGGGAGGGGGGATTATTTGCAGCATGTATCACACACACACACACACACACACGCGCACGCACGACAGCGCGCGTCCAAAACTTTGAATACGGTGGTGGTGATGTCACCGCTTTGGCACACGGTCGGCGACGCCTAACGTGTGTAAGTATACGCACCGCGACACAATGCAACGCTCGCGCACCGCAGCGTCCGGACGGTGAAAAGTTACGCTGGACCGGCGGTGGTGCTGGCTGCTGGCGGTGGCGGGCCTGCCCCCCTGTCTGCTCCAGTTGTGTGGCGCGTTGGGGGGGGCGCTCGGCACACATCTGTTACCGAGTGTGAAGTGTGACAGGAGCCAGAGGCGCGCGCGCGCGCACAAGCGACTTACGACCAGTCGGAAGAGGCTGATTGGTTGATGGATGAGCGGCCCTCCTCCCTCCAGTCACCTCCAGTCACCCCGCGACACCCGCCTAATGGGCCATTGTGACGGCGCGGTCCTGATCAGCAGCGGCGGCGGCGGCTGCGGCCCAGGGTGCGAAAGTTCGAGCGCGCGCGCCGGGAAAGAAAGCAGCAGCTGCAGCAAGCTGAGTGAGGTGCTGCCGTTCTGTTCCGGGTGCATTGCATTGCGTATCCCCCGACGACAAACGATGCGACAATGCAGGGGTCGTTATGTACTGTCACACGATAAAATACATGTTATCTTTTTTGGCTTCCGACCGCTTCCTTCGTTGCGTTACTTACAGACTCCCGAAGATATTATCATCATCCCGGTCACATTGTCAATCACTTTTCTGACGTCGCGTCATCGTCACCCTCGTATAAGGGGTCGTACACAAACTAGATCATTTACGAGGAGTGGGGTACTTTTATCACGGCACCAAATTTTAACTCGGCGTTGTAAATGGAACTGTTTGGGGGGCCGTGATAATTGTAACCCCAAAGTTAACATTTTTCCGGGTCTGGTAACTTTATCATGGTGGGTCTTAAAAACTTCCACTTTCAACCCTAAACGCAAATAGAGAACCGTGAAAAAAGTACCCCACTTCGAAAAATGACGTATTTAGTGCAGATTCCACTTACCGCATACGGCAAACTCTCACAGCTATTGTTTTTTGATTTGCAGAAGGAGTCCAAGGGCGGCGAGGAGGAGTTCCCCTGGGAGGACGTGCTGGAGGGTCTGACGGCCGACCCGCCGACCACCGTCACCGACTTCAGCTGGGACTTCACGCGCCACGAGCGGGTCGACCCGCTGCCCGACCTGGGCGTCGACCTCACGCACTCGAGCGCCTCGAGCGCCGCCAACTCCAACAGCGCCGAGGACGACTCGGACGACGCGGCATCGGTAAGCATCGGTCGAGATGAACGCGGAACTCCTGTCGGTGGAAGTGGGCTGATGCGTGCGGTCGAACGAGTGGCGGCGGGCCGGGCGGACGGGCTGCGGCCGAGCGCCTGTCGTTGGCAGCGTAGGCAGGCCCGCAACGCTCGGCTGCGCGGCGCGGTGGACTACACCAGCGCCCTCGCGCGCTACCGCTAGGAGGACGAGTTCCTCCATTACGTTTTTCTGCAAACTTGTGCGCGTTTTTATTATTTTTTCCCCGCAAGATCCCAGACGCGCTGGGAACGCCGCCGGTTCGACTGGTCGCTCTATATGGTTTGAAGAGCGGTGCGGTGGGGGGTGGGGTGGGAGGCTGGTAAGTAAACGAGGAAGCTACTCCCGCATGTGCGAGCCGTGGGTGGCGAGGCGTGGGCTGCAAGGCCGTTGGGTTCCATAGTTCCATACATTCCTTACTTTATGCTGGGGAAGAAGGGGAAAAAAAGAAGTGTCCAAAAAGAAATAAGTACAGTGCGATTCATGGCGTGTTGGCGATTTTGTTCCAGCTGCGGGCGGTGGGTGGCCCGTCGTCCCGCCCGGAGGGGAAGGACCTGGACTGGGACCAGGACGAGCCGGACGCTGCCTACAGCTCCGTCATACGGAGGGGCGCGCAGTCCCTGCCCGTGACCATCTGCAGAGGGTGAGTTGGGGAAGTGATTGCGAATACTCTCCGCAGGATATTGGGAGGTGTGGTTTCGTTTCGTTTTTCATGTTGTTTAGTCCACTGACTGAAACGTTTCAACCCTAAGGTTCGAGGATGCTGACGACGGCCTCGGCGACGAGGACAACAGCGAGGACCCCGTGTACGCCAACTGCCTGCTGGAAGACGAGCCGCTGTACGAGAACTTCTCGCATCATCTGAGCGGACTGGGCGGCCTGGGCCACTACATCGACCACGACCCGCTCGACTACTCGGACGACGAGGAGCACATCTACGAGCACGTCCACCACGTGCACGGCCACCACCGCGACGGCGACGTGCACCCGCACCACCACCCGGTCAACGTGTTCCTGGCGCTGCTGCAGGGCTCGGCCCCCATCAGCCCGGACCCCAACATCTACGAGGTGCCCCCCGGCGCGATCCGCTGCACCACCCGCGACCTGGACTGCTTGGACTCGGCGCGCAACATCACCCCGCCCAGCGGCTTCCAGGTGAGCGGCCGTCTGCACAGAGACGGGAAGATCCTCTTGTGGCGCGCGCTCTCTCTCTCTCTCTCTCTCGCCCTCCCAGTGCGCCACTTGGCTCAGCTGTCCGTGACCCTGGCGCTACACGGCGGTGACGCCGGTGTTGTGCTCTCTGACGCAAGGCACGGCACGCTCGGCGCGCGGACGCGCTAACCGCTACGGCAAACGCTGCTTCTGCGGGCGGAACGGGCGACTGCCCGCGGGGGCGAGGCATTCTGCAATGTTTCATTCTGCTTTAAAAAAATATGTTTTTAAAACGTCAACAATTTTTAACTGCGAAACGAGCCAATGTTAGAAAAGTCACCTAGATTCGAGTCACACTTAGACGCGCTGTAGCGGGTTCGTTTGAAAATCACACGGTAAAAAGAATGTCTTGGAATTCGAGGAAATTTCTTGGATTTCAATACTGGGTGGATAATTTCAAGATTGGCCCTTGAAATCCCATACTTTGTCTTGAAACTCCCAGCTTCCAAGGGAATTCCTTGGAATTTTCGTGTGGTATTCAAGGGTTTCCCTTAAAGTATCTAGATCGTGCCTCAAGGAAAACCCTTGAATACCAGACGAAAACTCAAGGGCTTTCCCTTGGAAGCTGCGGGTTTCAAGACAAAGTCTGGGATTTCAAGGGCCAATCTTGAAATTATCCACTCAATCTTGAAATCCAAGAAATTTCCTCGGATTTCAAGACATTCTTTTTACCGTACAGTGGTGGCTACAACAGTCAAAAACCCACCGACTATTCTTGACCCCTGATCGAACTCGGAATCTCTTCAAATTGGCGTCATTGATTGATTGGGCAAATCAGTTCTGAACGGGTGCTGCCGATGCGGTTAAGGACTTCCCCTTGTTTCGTTTTTTTTTTTTTTGCGGACCAGGTCTTTTGACGACACCTACTCTGCAGAAAGTGATCCTGCGGAAGAGGGAAGCAGCAACTCTGACGGAAACAGAAATTTGCCATTTCCCGTCCAAGTGGCGTCAGCGCCCTCCCCGTCGCGACGAAATAACGATTGAGTAAAGTAAGCGTCTTCTGGTCTTGTTGCAGGATTACGAGAAGCTCTCGTGGGTGCGAGCGGCAGGCAGCATACGCAGTGCGGCCGCCTTCTACGACGACGACCCCCTCGACGGCCACCACTACCTGCGCGTCGACACGCTCCGGGACACTGTAGTGTCAGCCGCCGCCCAGGACGAGGAGGACCGCCACAAGCTCCCCGTCGAGGTCATCTACTCGACCATTGTCAAGCCGCGACGGAAAAAGAAGCAGCGTCCCGCCATCTCCGCCATGCTGCAGATCGCCGCCAGCATGCAGCCCACTCAGCAGGTCGCGCCGGACAGCCCACCCCAGGGCGAGGGCGTCGTCGTGGTCGCGCAGGTCGTCGACAAGGACACGGAGTCCCTGCAGCCACAGGGTGACGTCAACGACAACTTTATTGTGGTTGACGGCACAGAGGGCCTGGTCAAGGACCAGCTGACCGTCGTTCAGGCCGAGGCCGACTGTGTCCTCGTATCCGAGCTCTCCGAGCCAGTCAACGTCGAGGAGGCCAACTCCATCATCGTGCACGGTTTAGAGACCCCCGCTAGCGACGTGATCATCCTTACGGTGCAGCCAGACGACGAGGTTGCAGCCGCCCCGGCCACCGTCGATGACGAAGACGTGCGCAAATTCCAGGACGACGACCGCACGGACCTGGTCATTGTCACACCGCCGACTCCTCCCGTCGTGTCCGACGACGAGGATGCCGCCGAGGAGGCCGACACGGAGGCCGAGTCCGAGGTGGTGGAGGTTATTGAGATCAGCTCCGACGGTCGTTGGGACACCAAGGAGCTCCCGCCCACCGAGGTGGACGAGGCCCTCCTGCAGCAGCAGCAGGACGCGGACGCCAGCTGCTTCCAGGAGTGCCCCGCAGAGGAGGCCAAGATCAAGCACGCCGCCATGGCCTACGGCTCTCAGTACTACGTCAACGCGGCTGGCCCCGAGGCCAAGAAGCAACAGCAGCAACAGCAACGCACCGTGGTCCACGTCAATGCCGAGCCCCTCGACAGCGATCCCGCGGACACGACGGCCGCCTCCGTCAGCAACATCGGCACCCAAATCATGAAAAAGTACGAGGACGATCGGCAGAAGGTCCGCGACAGCCTCAACCTCCCCGACGTCAGTCTCCTCGACATGGACGAGTCCATGGAGGACATCGAGCGCGAGCGACGGCGCGTGATCGTGAACCAGGCGGTGCGCGCCAAGAGGATCAGCTCGTGGATCAAGAGCAGCGACCAGCAGCAGGGCGAGCAGGAGGACGCCGTGCTGCTCCCCGAGGACGCCAACCTGCACCTCAACGAAGACGGTGAGTACCGGCGTATCTGGTCGTCTGCTCCTGCTCCGGGCGCGGTGCAGTGTAAGCGCGGAGTATTTGCAACTTGCGCACGCAAAAAGAAGGGTGCGATCGCATCTACTCCGCGTCCAGGACAGCCGGGGATACTCCGCGCTGCGCCGTGGAGGCTGGGCCGCGCGCCGCGCCGCCGTGCGCGTTGGGCTGCCTGGGCTGCGGGCTCAGACCGCGCGGGGCCGCGTCCCTCTCTGTCGGTCGGGCTCGGCGGCGGCAGCAGTTTCTCTTCTCTCCCGCGCTCCAGGGTGTGGCGGGGCGGGGCGGATATGGAACACACGCGCAGGCGATAGTGTGGGAAATGTCCGACCGCGGGGCGAGGCAGGGTGTGTCGGGGCGTGGCGGGGCGGGGCGTGGCATTTTCAGCGGCAGCTGGATGACCCTCTCCGTGACGTGCGTGGCGGCGGCGGCAGCGCAGCGGCTCCCGCCCGCACATCCTGGTCCGTCGGCACGTCCTGGCACAGAGCGCCCGCCGGGTGGCTTCCTATAATGATCATTATGGCGCAGCCGCCAATGTATAACGAGGACGAAATCGGACCGACCGAAAAGGAGCAGTCGAGATTATACGTCGCGTCGGCGTGTCCTTGGCCCCCAGCCCGCCCCCAGCCCGCCGCCAGCCCGCCTCCGGAGGACAGGACCCTCTCGGTGGACGTTACCAGCCCGGCGGTAATGACGGACCAGCCAGAGAGGTGTATTTAAGCCCTTCCTCCCGCCTCCCCCACCTCGCCCTGCTCGACTCCACTTAGCCGAGCTTGGTTTTTCGACGGTCCGCGGCTCCTCGGCGATAGGAAGTCGACAAGAGCGGAGGGAGGCGCCCCCCGCCCCCCGGACGCGTCGCCTGGACCGCGGGCGTTGCCCCGGGGCTCGGGGGCGTCGTCACCAGCGCGTGCGGTAGGGGTGTACCGGCGGGCATTGCGGCGACGTCCCCAGTCGGAAGAGGCGGCGGGGGTCACAGCTCGTGCCACTCGCCCCCACGCGCCTGTCCTGACATGAGTCCAGATCGTCATTCGATGTCTAAATATGACTCAATCATCGCCTTCGGCGCAGAACAGAATCTTAGTCCGAGCCATGATGATTCCAACCTCCGAGCGACGCGCACCTGTCGCGGCCGCGGCTGTCGCAAGTGGACCGCGGTGGTCGTGCCCTCCCCCCTTCCCCCTGCCGGCTCAGTGGGGCCCAACAAGGCATTAAGGGCAACCGCTAATGGCCCGACCGGCCCGGCCTGGCCCGCCTTAAATTAGGTTTGCCCGCATGAGTAGTCTATCGGGACGGGAGCTCCGCAGAGCAGCCCGGCCAGGCCCAGCGCAGCGTCCTTCCCGGCGGCGGCAGCGCACGGCCCGCCGCCGCTCCTTTCTATTATTCGACTCGACTCCTCCACGTGTCGGGCTGAGATGAGAATGTGGTATCAAAGGTAGTGTTAAAACATTAAAAGAAATAAGTTACATAAAATCTCTCCCAACAGCAAAAGCAAAATCAAATTTTGAAAAATTTAAAATTACTATACAATGTGACTTTTATACATTTTTCTTGAATTGCTCGGTAATTGTACATTTTTAGACAGTCCCTACTAGCTGTCTCTACCCGAAGGTAAAAGTTTCCCGTTTTGATAAATATTGGCGGTTTTTGTATCCAGTTTTGATAAAGATTGGCATTCCAGTTCTAGTGACGGAACATTTCTTTCCAGTTCTTGAGGCAACATACTGTATAACCCAAATTTCGTCGTCATTTATTAGAAAGGGCTGCTTTTGATCCCCTTCCTTTTTTTATTGGTAGATGATACCAACAATGCCCGCCGTATTTTACGTCTGATGTTCAATCATGCAAATAATATACGCAAACTGCAGAGACAATCTTGGGGTCTGTCTAAAAATGTTTTGTTCGAGTTTGCCGCGGGGGCGGCGCGGAAGCTAAGTCAGCTGACAGACAGACAGAGGGGGGAGGAGGGGGGGGGGTGAGAAAGAGAGAGAGAGGAGTAGGGCAGGCCGGCAGACCTTTGTGTCGTCTGCTGGAGTAAGCGTCTTGCCTGGAGGCGACCTGCAGGAGACTTGGGGCCACCTCCATGAGAGGTTAACTAGATGCTGCCAGCGGCGAGCGGTGCGGCAAAGGGAGACAGAAGGGCGAGGGAGGGGGAGGGAGAGAGAGAGAGAGAGAAAGGGACAGCAACAGGGCACGGGAGAATGGCGGCCTGGACTGCTCTTTCATTTGGGTCTACTGTCTGCTGATGAACTTCCGCACCCCTTATCCCCTCCCTCTCTACAAGTGAAAGGAGAGAGAGAGAGAGAGAGAGAGAGAGGAGAGGAGACACTGACGGATAGCATACCCACAGCATAGCATCAGCGGTCCTGGCAGGCCAGCGGCTCCAGCGGTCTAGTGGCGCAATAGATAATCATCATCAGGAGGTGACGGTCCGCGCCGGAGCTGCTGGAGCCCCGCCTGGACAATGGACGTGTGGCGGGCCGGCGTCGAACCGAACCGCACTCCTCGGGTTATTTTCGGTCTTTTCCTTGCAACGCGTGGGCCCGGCGCGCCCGCGCACCCATACGCCGTGTTCGACAGAGTGTGTGTTGTTCGGAAAAGGACAACCGCCCCCTACACAGTCACACACACACAGAGACTCACACGGGCACGCGCTGCTCGGCCCGCGGCACATTCACATTGTTCCAGGACAATAACACTAAAGAATAGTTTTGCTCGCCGGTCCTGTTTCTGCTCAAGGAAAAGGAAAGCTGTTAGTTTTGTGGCATCACATTTCTCTCTGCTCGCCGCGGTTACACAATTCAATACGCGGGAAGCGAGGGGGAGGCGGGGGGAGGACACCAAACTGCAACAAACACACTATCGAATGCCGGTCGCACTTCCCGCTGCTGCGCCTCTCCGGAGCGGCAGAGACAATGGAGCGACTGAGCGACTCTGGACGAATACTCCAGCGTCGGGACGGCGCGGCGTGGACGGGCCCTGGCCCCGGCCCGGTGCGCCAGAAGCCACAAAAATTGAGAGCACGGTACCGGCTCCAGCGGGAGCAAGCTGCGGGGCGCCTCAAGCTGGAGGGGCCAGGGCGATGCAAGGCATCTCCTTGAGCAGTCGTGACCGGCAAGGCAGGGTGATCGTGCTAAAGTAAATAACCAACCCTTTTTTTCAACTCATTTTTTATCTCCTGTTTTTGCTTGCTCCTAAAACGTATTTTGGATGTGTTATTTAAAAGTTGTGTTCCCTGCTCCTCCAATGTATCTCGTCCACATTCAAATTAAGTGCAGATTGCAGTTTTTGTGTTTTGTTTTGGATTGAGTGCTTGGTGCAGTCCAGTCCCGTGTGCGGCAGCCCCCGCCAGGTCTGCCAGGCCAGGACCATGCACTACTTCCTCAAAGATTTGTGGAGCCGTCCTCCCGCCATCCGTCCATCCATCCGTCCATTCGTCTTGTGGCACTCAGCCCCACTCTGCTACCTCACGAAGGGGGAAAAAATCACATAAAGGAACGGGGGAAAACTGGAGCAGGAGAAATACACTTTGGCAGAAGGTGCGGAAATGACATTGTTTTTCTGTGTTCATCGCAAAGGTAGCGGCGATGACGAAGGAAAACGAGGCTAATTATTATGTCATAACATGTATAGGGGAAGTAATAATTGGAATACACAGATTGAGGGTCTTTCTACTTTGAGGGAACTGACAAAGACTACGTAACTCATGTGGACAGGACGCTATTTGAGGTTGTTATGACTAAAATAACGTGGATTAATTAACCAATTAAGAATTCAAGTACCTTCGTTCGGGTACAAAGTGGGGGTAAGCGAGGGTAAGAAAGAGGGTTTGTTGTGTTTTAACGGAAAGGAAATTACAGACGACTTAATACGAAATTTAACAGTGAACTGATGGCTAACTCACACTCAAAAAAAAGAATCATTGTACCAACGACATGAGTTGTACCTCCAACAACATTTTGTTCTTGGAATGGCTTCAAAAACATAGGATGCTATTCCAACGACCATGGTTGCTGGCTCAACGACATGGTCGGTGTCACAACTACCGGTTGTCATAGGGTTAGCAACATCGTGTCTTTAGACCAACAACCCGGCCGCAAGAACACGACGGTCGTTGGAACAATGATTCTTTTTTTTCAGTGCAGGCAAAACCTTTTACTGAACACCCCTTTCACTTGAAGTTTAGTACGGCGACGGCGTTAGTAAAATTTTCACTGCAGATATGTAGTTTAATGTTAAGTTCCTTCCACCCGGGTATCCAAACGTCAGAAGGGTTGTGAAATGGATGGAAAGGCGAGCCGGGACCAAAGCGAGCGGCACTTACCGACTCTGGCCTCGCAGCAGAGCGTCTCGCGCTAAAAATGAGACCCTTCTTGTTCTTGTTCGACATGGAAAGTTCGACCGCTCTCCGGTCGGGCGGGCCGGGGCGGGCTGCACGCCGCTCGGCGCGCTGCTGCACCACACGACGCCCCTCCACCTGCGCCAGCCCGCGCCGCTAATCGCGTCAATAATGGATTTGGCCTCTCTTAGCCGCGGCTTTCACCTCCATTTTTAATCCTCCTCTCTTCTGCTGCTTCTCGTCTCATCTTCTCTTTCTTTTTATTTATTTTTTTCGGTACCTTCAACTTCTCTTCTCATTTTGTCTCTCGAAAGCCGAGACTGACTGACTGAATTTCCCGCCTCTGCCGCCGCCGCCGCGCCGCCGACAAGTAAAAAGCGACGCCGACGCATCCGTCGTGAAGCCGAAGTGCCCCCGCTGGGGGCGCTGGCTGAGGGCCCCGAGGGCTGGAGCGGGCTGGAGGGCTCCCGGAGTGGAGAGATGAGGGCTGCTGGAAGGGCTCCCAAGGCGGAGAGGTGAAGACTGCTGGAAGGGCTCCAGGGGCGGAGGGCTGAGGACTGGGCGGCTCCTGAAGCGCGGGTAACAAGACCCGAGGAAAAGTTACCACTGCGGATCGAGGGGTGGACTACTTGGAGATACCATGTAC